CCTCACCACGGAGTTGGATACTATTATACTTATCGATATCTAAGCTTTATCCTGCCTTAACCCCTTAAGGACACAACTTCTGGAATAAAAGGGCATCATGATGGAATATTTCCGTCATGTGTCATTAAAGGGTTAAGGTATCGAGTACTCTTTAGAGTGGACCGTTCCACCTACTTACTATCCTGTGGGCTGCTATAAGAACATTGTTACATTCACTCACTGTGGCACTCCAGCTTGTCATCTGGTGTCTAATATCTACCAGCTTGGTTTACATCTTTTTGGTGCCGGCCATTTGCAACACTACATGTTACTTTGTTACTTAGTTTCCAGCTTATTTTATTTCACTCATGCGCAGCAAGTTTAATTCCATGCTTTTTATGATACCGTGCTCTTATCAAAATATTGATTTAGTGGCTACTCTCTATTTTTAATTGACAGTTAGTGCCCTCTTGGTTAAAAAGTTACACTTTGTTCATATCTTGACTCTTTAGATAGACAGTGGTTTTTGTTTTGTGCACACTGTCACGGTATTACACTGGAGGCCTCTACTTGTAGTAGACAAATACCCAAAATTATAATCAATCTGTTTAAAAATAAAATATAAATAAGTTAGCCTCACTGCACTGTAACCTTGACAATAAGCTGTGGTGGTCATGGTACTGGGAGTCTCCCTCTAAATTTCAGGCTGTGCTTTTTCCAGGAGTTTAGCAGTTAAAAGTACACTTCAAGTGCCAAAAGTATTTCACACACCAGGGACTTCAGACTAAAGTAGATTCATTACTTCAATATGTTTCACAAAAACACGGAAATGTTTGCAGATGCAAACTTTTCTGTGTGAAGCATTGGATTCAATCAATGGTAGTTTGGTACAAAAAGTGATTGTTCTAAAAAGCGGCACATAGAAAATTGGGGGAATCCCCAGAACAATGTGCCTGCTGGTTCTACGGGTTTCATGACGACTGGCCCACTTTCAATAGTTTAGACTACTTTTCAGAACACAATACCTTTTCATACAAAATCTCCCCCAATGCTTCTCAGAAAAGCATTGATTGGCGCAATTGCTATAAACACGACATGTCTGCAGAGCTTCTCTATGAGAACCAACTAACTGGACAAAAGTGATCAGTTGATGACCAGCAAGGAGGATCAAGCTGCAGAGAGGAGTGTATCTCAGTAACCTTCTACAGGTAAGTTTAAGGGTGCATCTGTTTGTTTGTCCATAGACTGGCAGGCATTTGATGCATTCAACGCAGCTAAAAGGGATTTATACACAATTAAAATATATTCTTTTAGGCCAGTGATTTCCAAAACAGTCCTCAAGGCACACCTACCGGTCCATGATTTAGAGATTCTCTCTCTTTGTAATTCTAAAAACCCCTTAGACACAACTGGATAATCCCTAAATCCTGGACTGGTAGGGGTCCTTTGAGGACTGGTTTGGACACCACTGCGCTAGGCTATCAGCATTAACAATCAGCATGAATTGGGTTTTCAATTGGTGCTGCTGTGCACTGCCAGGTCTGAACATAACAGCAGTTGATGGCTGGACATCAGGGAGCCAGAATTCAGGTGGTGATTATAAACCATTCCTGTACACATACAATTACTATTTCATGGCACATATAAACCCCTTCATTACCGTGTTATTTGCCCAAAAAGTTACTTTTTTTTTTCTTCTAGAGGATGGCAAGCACATAAAATAAATATCAATTACAATGATGGCAAAATAAAATCTGCATTAAGATCTAGCTTCTGACAATGAATCTGCAGATATATTTGGGTATGCACATTCTCAAAGTGCTAGCAGACATAGCATGCTTGCACACTGGCCCCCTGCAGATCTGCCCAGGGACCCATGTCTATTGTCTTCACCGCTGTACATTATACACACAAAAAAAAAAATATTTAAAGGACCACTCTAGACACCCAGACCACTTCAGCTTAATGAAGTGGTCTGGGTGCCAGGTCCAGCTAGGGTTAACCCATTTTTTCATAAACATAGCAGTTTCTCTGAAACTGCTATGTTTCTGAATGGGTTAAGACTTCCCCTATTTCCTCTAGCGGCTGTCTCATTGACAGCCGCTAGAGGCGCTTGCGTGCTTCTCACTGTGATTTTCACAGTGAGAGCACGCCAGCGTCCATAGGAAAGCATTATGCTCTTGCCGCGCGTGCGCATTCAGCCGACGGGGAGAAGAGGAGGATCGGAGGAGGAGAGCTCTCCACCCAGCGCTGGAAAAAGGTAAGTTTTAACCCCTTTCCAGAGCCGGGCGGGAGGGGGACCCTGAGGGTGGGGGCACCCTCAGGGCACTATAGTGGTCTTTTAACTCCTAAACAGTGCAAGTCCAGGACAGAGGCTCCATCTGATGCATCCCTGACTGAAGTACTAGAGATGTTAAGGTAAAAAGTATCATGCAAAACAACTATACATACAAACAGTAATAGTAAAATTCTGTCAATATTTTTATGCTTGTGTCCCTGTTCAAGCTACTGGGGTAAGCAAAGGCCCTGCTTAAAATAATGCTATTGAGCCAATGACTGCCAAGGCCTTATTGTTCAATCAAGAAGAAAGGCTTTAAGATCAATTCTTTAAAAAAAAACAAAAAACAATTTCTTAACAATTGCAAGAGTTATACACACGACGGAGACAGGGTGTTAAGATAAAAATCACTGCCCCCTGCATTTGGATATTTTGGGAAAGGACTTTTAAAGATTACTCCATGCACCATAACCACTACAGTGTTTATAATGCCAGGAGTATTCAGGTTCAGATCCTGGTAATTGGGCAGCATTACAAGAGTTGCAGAAATCAACCCCACCAGCCAACAATTACAATTATGTGCAGAGCAATATGCCCTAAATTGACATCAGCCATTCCAGAACTCTTGTACCAGGCTGGCTACTGAAGGGCTCGCCCTATCCCAGCTGCCATGTCAGCGGCGAGGGAGCAGTAAATCTTGCTCAGATGCCGGAATATGACGTCACTCTGGCCCTGACCCGCGAGGGAGCAGAGCAAGAAGAGCTTGAAGATTTCAGCAGCCACGCTGGACCTCAAGGAAAGGATTCACTCCAGTTCTCCCAAAGGAAGGGAGGGTAGGTGGACTTAAATTAAAATAGATTTGTAAAAGAATGTGTGTGCATCTATATGTCTGTCAATGGGTCAAATCGGTGAGTGTGTGCATGTCTGTCTGTGAGTGTCTGCTTAGGTGACCGGTTTCCCTCTGATCACATGGGAAAGGTGTTTTTACTCCCCTTTTTTCCCCCACGCCATGCCAGCTATTCCCGCCTACTCAGCCAACTCAAAGCTTTCCCATTGGAAAGGAGAGAGGCTATTGCGCACCAGGCACAGGGACACTAGACACTAAAAACACTATGTTAAGTTGAAGTGGTTACTATAATGTCCCTTTAAGAATTATATTTGTCACTGAAAGAAAAACAAAAAAAAAATAACCTACTAGATTGCAAGCAAATGTATCCAGCCCAGGGTTAATGACACTGCCAGCTTGAAGTTACACCTCCAGTAGCAATGGTGTTAAACTCTGTATGTGCTGTGTTCCAAAGAGAAGATTCCAGGCACCATGGCCACTTCAAATAAATGAGTCTTGGAATAATCATTTAAGCAGAATTGCCACTACCTTGTAAGTTATGAAAATGATTTCAGAGCCAAGATTAAAGGAACATTATAGAGTCAGGAATACAAACTATAGTGTTTTACTATTTAAATCACCAGCCCCCCCATAGAACTTGGTAAGAAGGCGATTTTACTCTCCACTAGGGATTCCTGCCCCCATGAGATAATCAATCTTGATGATCTCAGCCAACCTAATGCTTCCAATATGAAAAAAATTCTACGCTGCACCAACAGAATCTCCTCCTAGAGATGTATTAAATCAATGTGTGTCTACAGGTAACATTCAGCACCTCAACTGTGCAGCACTGAACTTGGAAGCATATCTATTGTGGTCATCTGAGTGACTATCAATAGAGGTGTAACTAGCCAGCAACGTAAACAATGCCTTTTCTCTGAAAAGGCAGCATTTACAGTGTTGAGCCAGCCGGTACAGGATAGAGACACCAGAACTACATTAAGCTGTAGTGGTTCTGGTGACTATAGTGTCCCTTTAAATTGATATGCCCTGCATTCAGTCACCGTAACAGTTTCAGCCTGGGCAGGTTTTCGCAGGTCACTTTACAGAAACCAGCAGTCGTGTTATTACAGGTTTTTTTAACGAAAATGTGGTGTTTTGTTTGTGAAAAACAGTAATGGAGCTGACATGTGTCCTGTTTAAAAGAATGCTTGCTAATGACAGTTCTCCATTCCATCACCCCTGTAAACAATGAATGAATAAAAATGACCTGGGTGCCACTCTCATGCATACTTTATATAGTGCTATGAGAACCAACTACATTTGCATAGCAGGCCCTGACACTGCAGGACAGACTAGTAAATTAAAATATGTAAACTACTGAGAATTTTGAAAGATATAAGCTCTATTTATGAACAACTGAACTATATAGTTCTGAAGACCACCCGCCCTGCAGATTTCTGGCAGTGCCGCTGAAAGGTCAAGTCTCTCAGTGGTCGCTCCCTGCCCATCACACACCCTTCTAGGTGTTTCGTGAATACAAAGTTAATGGTAGGCTGAAAGCGTTGGCTAACACTCTCAAAAGCACACTCTAAGAGCCTTCCTCGTTAAAGCCAGACATCACCGGAAACCAGGGGGGGAGGGCAGCGTAGACAGATATGGCTTTAAAAACCGGTTCATAAGCAGTTTACACCCAAAGGGAAAGATGGCACACAAGGGCTCCTGACACCAAAACAACTTAATTCAAATAAAGTTGTTTTGGTGCCAAGCGTATTTCTTTAAGTATTGTTGGTGCTGTGTAAATATTCTCATTGGTGACAGTTTTGCTTACACACATTTAGCAATGCAAGCCCTGTGTTTCCTGGGAATATAAACATCCCAGATTTTTTTGCTGAAGTAAAAATACTAGAACTGACAGGGCAGACGCAAGGTGCGAAAGAATGGTTTGTAATGTCTTAAATTACAGCAGTACAGAATGTCAAATTAACACTGCCTATTCACGTAAAAACCCTCAGAGCTCTTTATTACAGCTAATGGTTCTGTTTCCTGTCCAAAAACAAAAATAAAATTAAATGCGGGAAAAATATATATATATAAAAAAAACAAAAAAAACAAGTCTCAAGAGACATGCCATGAGCAATACATTACTATGAATTTCCAAAATACAAAAACAGCAATTGCTTTTTACAATGAAATTTTACAATGGGCTGCAAACGTCACCATACTGCACTCCCAATATACGCCCCTCCCACTCCACACCCCCCAAAAATAGGGGGGGAAAATAAAACAATTTTAAAGGAGGCAGAGAACAAAGACAAAAGTAAATATATTTAAACCCATTTAGTGCCACCAGAAATTCCAACTTTTGCACTTTTGGGGCTAAGCATCTGAGCAAAACTGTGCGACAGTCAACTCTAAAATGTTACAAAACCATTACAAAAATTGCTTTGCGGTGGCTTCTGGTTAATACATAGCAAGAAATGTATGTAGCTATACAATGGTAGAACTTAAAAATGATTTTTGGAAAAAAATAAAAATATTAGCAGCCTCATTTGGTCACAAACTGTTGAAATGTAGTGTGATTACACCACAGAAGGAGAACACCGAACTGCTTGAAGACTACTTGGTATAATTTTAGGGAAAGGGGCTTGCAAAAAAACAAGTCAATTCTGTTGCTAAGGCTGCTATGGATTAAAACGCCCATCAACAACGTGAAAGGCAGGCTACAGCAATTTAAATGTCAGGGGAGCCCCTTCCTCCAGATTTTGGAGTTGGCATTTTATGTGTGGTAGGGCAAACAAAAAAAACAAAAAAAAAACAGGAATTTGGAAAAGTTCTTAAACAGAAAACAACCAGAACAGTATTTTTTAGCCTCCTGCAGAACTAGTCAATTTCTTTGGACCGAGGAACTACTTACTTAAGGGTTAAAAAGCCACCCCAGACTGACTTTGGTGCATGTTTTGTAGGGACATTTTAAAAAGAAAAACCCCTCAAAACAAAACCCCAAACACAAGATTATCACGGGTGAAATAAGCGTGTAAACAAAAAACCAAAACAAGAAAAAAATGAGTTGTTTCTAAATCTCCTTGTTACAGTCTAATTTGGTTATTTTCAGATAAAACTCAGTTTTGATAAAATGTCTCCCTCCCACAGAAAAATTCAATGGGGCTCAAGGTTGATGGATCTCCGCTTTTGCAGAATTACACCGTCTTCCGCTAGGAATGTTCTCCTGTGAATACAGTCTGCAAACAGAGCTCAAATAAAAAACAAAAAACAAAAAAAAACAAGCTCTAGCAGTCGCTCTAGCAGTCGCTCTTCCACAATTTGATGGTCTTATCGTTTTCTAGAGCTGCAGAGGCAATGATATTCTCTGTTGGATGACAGGCAGTTGAAATGACGACATCTACAAAGTTTTTTGGGGAAAAAAATAAAATTAGCAAAGAAAATTTGTATTAAATATAATATTCAGAAAATCATCAATTTTAGTAGCAAAGAAGAAAAAAAAGGAGATCCTAAAACACTGTTTCTTCTTATATTAAGAATTTATTTTTAAACAATGCCCACTTTAGTGAACAGACAGGGATATACACAAAAGAAAGAAGAAAAATAAATAAAAGTTGCCTGCTTAATATCCCAAATCCCTATGCACATTTAAATAACCCAATGTTTTTAATAGCACTCTAATGGCCATTAAAGTGTAAGCTCACCTTCCACTTAAATGCAATACTCTTAGGAGAACCCAAGAGGTAACCTACAGTCACTTAAAGGGATACTGTAGTGCCAGGAATACAAAGCGATGCCTCTGCCTCCCCTGCGCCATTGCTGTCGCAACCCCCCCTCTTCCCCTCCTGTAAATAGAGGATTAAAACCCCTTTATTTACTTACCTGATCCCAGTGCTGATGTCCCTTGGCGCTGGGTTGAAGCTTCGCCCCCTCCTCTGTCCCATGACAAGCTGGCTCTAATGCGCATGCCCGGCAAATGCTGCACACACATTAGACCTCCCCATAGGAAAGCATTTTTACATTGCAGCTCTAAGTCTGCCCTCAGTGGCTGCCTACCTGACGCTGAAGGTCCATATGCAGAGCGTGAGGACGTCTAGCGTCAGAGAATGGACCAAAAGTCTATTACGATTTCGGAAGTGCCCACAGTGGCTGTCGGGTAGGCAGCCACTGAGGGCAGACTTAGAGCTGCAATATAAACATTGCAGTTTCCCTGGAATGTAGGTGCAAAAGGGACACAGCACCCAGACCACTTCAATGAGCTGAAGTGGTCTTGGTGCCTGCAGTGTCCCTTTAAATAGGCCAATGGGTTTTGGGAAAGTGCATAGGGGATTTTTTTGTTTTATGTATTTGGGATGACGAATGTTACAGACACTTCTGCTGCCCAATAGTAGTGGGAGTTTTAGCATAGGGTGTAAATGTTTGTATAGAGATATACTGAAAACTGTAAGCCTAAGAGAGCCATTAGCTAATTAGCTGAAGGTATGGTTGCCAGTCTCATTTTTTGCAGATGTTTTACAGCTCTCATAGGAAACAGTTGATACAATCTCCTTAAAGGGATGCTACAGCTTTCAGAAAAACTACAGCTTAGTGTAGTTGTTCTGGTGAGTTTAGTCAGTCTCTGCAGCCTTTCTGTTGTAAACCGTGTCTTTTCAGAGGAAAACCAGAGTTTACATTACAACCAAGGGACATATCTAGTGGCCACTGGAGGCGCTTCCTGGGACTGTGCAGCACTAACTGTTCAGCGTCTCCACGCTCTGCATTTATTCAATGCATCTCTATGAGGAGATGTTGACTGGCCGGGGCGGTGCTTGGCTCTGCCCCCCGCCTCCTTGGCGAAGATCATCAAAATTGACTATCTCAGTTAATCCAAAGCTTTCCTATGGGTAAGCACGGGGATTGGCAGAGATTGTCAATTCTGTTGAGGTTAGCCAAGGAGTCGGACTGGGGAGAAGCCAGCGCCGGCGGACCTATGAGGTTCATTAATGCTCAATAAGTAGATATTTATGAGTCATGATAAGCTAAACAAGTTTGTGGGGTAGCATACAGTTTAGGTGATTTGAACAAATTGTTGTTGAATTATACAGTAACCACGATCCCCATGCACTATATCCTCTGTAAGAAGTAGATTTGATTATGATGTAGTAAGTGTCCCTTTGAAGATAAAAATGGAACAAACCGTTTCAGCATTTGGCTGCTTTTAAAACAATAAGTGCATTGTTAATGGAATATTAAAAAGGAGAGGAAAAACTACCATTAATAGTCTTTTGTACTCTTTCCAAACAGGTATATTATGTCTGGCATCTAAATCGCTATTTTCTCCCAGAATATGGTAGATTATTACATTATGTTACATTAAAGCTTTGCTCCCCTTTAAAAAAAGTTCCAACCCGTCAGACAACTAATCTTGTAACTTCCTGGTTTGGTTAGCTCAGTGGAGATAATTGCAAGCTGTTTTTAGTTAATCCTCCAATGAAAAATATGTATTATTAGATGCATTGTATGTTTTATTAATTTCATTGACTAAACTGTTAATTGCTTTTTGGTTTTCCATTTGAGCATTCCTTTAATGGCTTGGGTTACATTACCTGTATGCCCCTGTAATTTCTGAACAATCTCCTTTGTTTGCAGGTTCCAGATGTACACCAAGTTATCTTCAGACCCAGAAACAATCCACTAAAGAGAGAAAATGATTCTTTATTTGCATCATTTGTAACAAATATTCAGCAAATTGTATTTATATACTGTGTAAGGACTTCAAGATAAATAAAGCAGCTAGACACAATGTTTTAAAAATGATAGCTTTGCCAGCATTAACCCTTTAAGGACGTCGGCAACTGTACACATTCTGATCAAAACAAATTTTTTTTTTTTTAAACTAGAATTTGAGCTATATGTCTGTTCAAACGTAACTCACCTTTCATATTATATGCACCCACACTTATTATATATCATTTTGTTCAGGAGAAATATCAAATATTTAGATAGGAAACAATTTAATATGAATAAAATCTAAAAAAGTGCGAGAAATGAAAAAGGTATATTTTCTTAATTCTGTGCGTCATTTTAACTGCGATTGTCATAATACTTAGCATTTAGAAATTTGCCAAATTGGTTATGTTGCTTTGAGACCGTATGGCAGACCAGGAGTGCTGCCCAGATTTTGCAGGACGGCATAGAACACCCAGCGGCGTTAAGGGGTTAAAGAAGATGTAGTCCACAACATCTGGAATGCCAAATGTTGCCTACCCATGACATAGAACAGGGATAGGCAATCTTGGGCACTCCAGGTGTTGTGCACTATATCCCCTATAATGCTCTTACACTCATTATGCTGGCCAAGTATCATGGGAGGTGTAGTCCAAAACATCTGGAGTGCCGAATGCCTGGTATAGAGTATGGCACCCAGGGGGACCAATTCCCCAAATCTTGCAGCATAATTGAGTTCCTTGGTATGGCAAAGCACTTGGAATGGAAAGTCAAAACAGTTTTCCCATCATGAGGGCAAATGATTATATCCTGAATACCAAATGTCTCTAAAGTTCCCTATTGTAGCAAGATATTATAGAGCTGCTTGTATTAATATACTGCTTATTAAAAGTCTCCTGCATAAAAAGCAGTGAAAACTGTAAAGAATAAAAATAAAATAGCCTATTAAAATGAATGTGTTTATTTTTACAGTTTGAACGGCTTTATAGAAGTATCTAGTGCAAATACCATCTGCTGACTAATAGTGTCTCCTAACTTGCTATACTGTGGAGCTATAGAATCAACTGCAATGGTTATTTGAAATAAGTAAAAGACAAAATGCGACTAAAAGGAGCCTGCACAGTTTCAATGGCTGCTGCAGTGAACCGAGTCAGACAATTGCATGCCTGCAGCTTAATATTAAAGAACAAAAATAGAAGCTTACTCTAATAAGGTCTCATATTAACCGCCTGATACCCAGAATGCACCAGTGCACTCTGCATAATCAAATGTCATACTCCATGCTGAACGTATACTAAGCACAGTGATCAGGATAGTACAGCCAGTTAACCAAAGCTGTCACAACACTGAAAATAAACCAAAATGCATTTACAGAGTTTAATTTTTTTACGTGATGCTGTTTTTTTCTTTAAATGATTAAAGATTTAGCAAAGAACATCCCAGTACATTCGAGGAACAAAATGCAAAGGAGTATAGAAACCGTGTTACACTTTCTCCTCTACGAATATCAACATTCATTGGCAGAAAAGGGCATCCTTTATGACGATGATTGACAGGGAGCCACGATGAAGTTAAAATTCCCATTGCGTCTCTAGCTTTAGTGCCTTTGTCAACACAATACAATATGAAGCGGTTTTGGAGTTATGGCCAACACCGTAAGAGCGATACGCACCTTGCCACCTGTTACAGAGAAGTTTGCAAATATGCAGTACTTTTCATTCTTATGGCACGTGTAAGTTTTCAGGCACTGGAAAGACAAAATAAAAAAATTAGTTAATAAGACAACCTAAAAAAAATTCACACAAATACAATGGTAAAACCGCAGAGGCACTGCATCAAGTGGCAACACTGCAGCTTACAGGTCAGCTGCATTTTCCTGCTTCTCTATAACTACAAACCCTGTTCCCCCCAGCACATGCTAGAGACTTGCAGACAATAGGAGCAGGAGCATAGGGCAGCATTTGCCCTTTTGAGCACTGAGGCAAATATTACAACAAGCAATGCTACTAAAGACAAGCAGAGTGAAGCAGATATGAGGATGTAACATAGGCTGATGATGGTTTTTATTTGTGCTCAATAATATGCTAAAATGAGCAAATCTTATCTGCTGATAATTAAAAAATACCTGAGTTTTTCTTTAATCATTTTGTCCAGCAGATTCTGCTTTATCAAATTATAGTTTGATGTGGTTTGAACTTTAAAGTGAAGTGTTTTACAGGTATGCGACTTGGCTTGGTTTTATAAAACACTGTAAACTGTATTACTCTAAAAAATAAAAATTTTCAGAAATGTTTCCATTATGTTAGATATTAATTTCCTCAGACAAATCGTTTTATTCCACATCAAGCAGACATGATCCAAAACCAAGTATTGCTTATATAAATATCTTACAAGACAGATTTTAAAATTGGCATTTGATCAAATAGAAAAGATGGGGAGGGCATTTTATTGAGCACTATTCAAAATCACGTCTGCATAGACTAAACAGGTAACCTCCCGCACACTTGCTTTCACTAAAAACAAGGCACTGCTGTTTTACATACACCTTATGTCAGGTAACATTTAAAATAATACCACATGGAAAAAATAGGAAGGAATAAAAAATAAATAAAAATAAAAGAAATAAAAAAATAGCATTTTTATGGCACATGTATATTGAAATAAACGTTTCCTGGTGAAAATTAAAAAAAAATAAAGGTTACAATACGTTGCATTTAAAGAGATAGCTTTGGCTTATTTTCCTGAGAGATGCACTGGGAACATAGCCATGTGCCAGAGTTACCAGCATAACAGATGCTGTTTACTAGCTACATACAAGGCATATTTGCTGGATTCTGCAGGGGCGCTAATTAGATAAATGGGAAGCAAAGCACCCAAACAAAACAGAAACAGACATATGGGAGAAGGAAAGCCCTTAATAAAACATTAGACAATGTTTAAATATATATATTTACACACACAAAAACTAACATACCTTCCCTTTGCTGTAGTCCCATAATTTAAGTGTGCTGAAACAGAAAATAAATAAAATATTAACTCTCAAAATCAGTTTGATAAATATGGGCAATAGCTGTTTTATGATTATATAGACTGTACAACAGTAGCATTATTGATTAGAGAGATCTGGAGAATTCTGTGCACAACTCAAATCAGGCAGTATATAGAATAAATATATACCACATTGGTATATAATTATTATCGTATACCTACTTGTCTAATGTTGCTGCTAGAATGTATTTTCCATTCGGAGAGAACTTCACAAACGATACTGGGGGGTTATCATCATCTAGAGATAAACGGTAAAAGGTTTGCTGTGATTTACACTTTCAGTGCATGTTGAATAAAATAAGACCCTGACAATAGCTGGGCACAGAAGATGCATACAGTTATCCCACCCTCTCACCAACCACTGCCATCACAGGGAGAACTGCGAATTCTGCATTGAATGGTTTGACTTAAATGGCTGCTGGTTGAATGAATTATACTTTTGTGATCGTGTAGGTGCTAATAGCTGTATTTTCACTGTTCATTCGTAGCATTGGGGAAGGAGGTGGGAGAAAATATACTATTGTGAAAACGTTACATTAAGTCCCATTAACCCCTCTCCAGCCCACATTCCTATGAAGTTAAACTAAAAAGTGTGATCCCTAAATATTCCTGTGTGTCACGGTCTTATCATGGGCCAACTCAACTACAGATTTAGAGAACAAACTCTAAAGCATTTGTTCTTATGGCAATTTCTATCAGGTCAGATTGTAATAAATGACTCTTGAAATTTTATTTTTTCTGCCCTCAGTGGCAGTAAATAAAATAATTTTGAAAATAATCAAAATTAGAAGAGGTGGGGAAAATAATAACCCCCCCACCCCCCAAAAAAACACGTCTTACCGATCAGCGTTTTCAAGCACTGTCCCGAGGCCGTGTCCCAGATTCGGCTAGGATTTAAAAAAGGTTTACAGTATGAGACTTACAGAAACACTATCAATACATGTAGGTTATAACCCCCAAAGGTAACACTACATAGTAACAACACATGCAAAACATTCTTCCTATGATCTTCAGGAAAGATAGCACATTAACAGAAAATGAAAAAGTTCTAAAGGGCAATTGGCCAGCTACATATCCAGGAAGATCCAGAATGTTAATATGCCCTGTTCAGGAATAAAGAGAAAAGCGACTTTCCACAAGGTTCGAGAATCATAAATATGTATATGTAGTGGAATAGAAAGGGGAAAAGTGCTTAAATTGGGCAGCACTGCTTTCATTGAACTCACTTAACACGAGAGAAGCTGAAAAAAAAAAGAAATCCAAAAATATATGAGTGATCAAAAAACTGACTTACAATGTGAACGCTGTATTCTGATTGGCTGCCCATAAATAAGTTGTACAGGTAAGCACCTTTTTAATGCCCAATATGCAAAAGCAATTATGAGATTAAGAGTTGAAGAAGTTCCATAACTTACATGTATACGTATGATAGATATCTATATCGAATACTGTATTTAATGATTTGTATAGATAGTCAAATGATGGATATGGGGTATACTTGTACGTACATTGGTTAAGAAACTAATGAAGAAAAGAACAACTAAACCACTGACATCTTATGGTGTATTATTTTGCCTTTTTACAATTGTGGCATATAAGGTTTAGAAAAAAAAAAGTCTGTGGTACTGCCGCCATCACTTACCACAGACCATCGTAGCTACTCGATACAATGAGGGAACCGTCACGATTGAAATGCACCTGGAAGGGAGGGGCAGAAATTAATACGACAGATGATGATTACACCTCATGTGTTCCCAGCAGGAGTGTAGGAATAAAAATAAATAAATCTCCAGACACTAGAAATCTGATAACCTCTGTGCTCCCTCTGGTAATTGTCAGTTGGAACATTACACCAAAATAGAGACCAAAATACAGGGGCCTAGGGGGTAGTGTGAAGAATGAATTGGAATGTTACGCCCAACACAAAGACTCATTCTGAGGAACAAAAACAAGTAGTGGGGGATGGATGCCTACCTACAAATAGGTACTCCAGGGGACAATATTATAGATACACATGTACGTATTCTGTTATTTTAAACAGGCTAATATTTTCAAATCTTCTATAGCACTAAGTGATGTGATTTGGAATTGCGAGGTCCCACAATCTTTGTGTAACACTAGGACTTAAAGCCGCTTAGATTATATCAGCAAAGGGAGAGGGACAAAATTAATAACAGCAACAGTGAATGAAGACAACAGACAGGGTGTACAACCTCCACTAATCTCATGCAGCCCCGGAAATTTGTATTGCAAACTGGGGGGGGGAGGAGGCCTGTATATAACTAGGGACGGGGACACCATAGAGTTAGGCAGGGCTTAACACAACTATCCAGGCCTTAAAACATACTCGCCACTGCAAGTCTGAAGGGTTTGTGGCACAATTACCAGGCCTTATTTTCTACTTGCTAGGGTTTAATATTTCACTCCCCAATGGAAACTTTGGTCCTTTGTTTTACAAATACAAAGCTGTATACAGTGCTCCTTTCACATAAGATATAGGTGATATTACATATTTTATTAAGTGGTCTCAGCTTCATCTGAAATATTGATTTTCCCAGATTTCATTAAAATGCTTATCTCTTTGACATTCAAAGAAAAGTATGAAGACATTCACTTACAGCAGACACGGGGTCAGAATGAGCAGGCAAGGTCTTCAGGCACTTCCCTGTCTTCACATCCCATATTCTCACACTTTCATCAAACTGAAAAAACAAAATACATGTAAACAGGACTGCAATTTCAACAGGAGGGGATGAAAAGGGCAGATGGGGAGGAAATTAAATAACTAGATATAGAATCCTTCCCCAACTCCCAGGACCATTCCCTGACAGGTTATGAATTGTCTTGTTAATAACTTGTCTTTTAGTCAAGTTCGGAGTCACGTTGCATAAATGGACCACATGCCATGTTAGTAGATCTCAAACAGGAAACCCGTGTTCAACAGGTCTCAAGCAGCTACCCATAATAAAACCGTTCACAGTTTAGTTTTCCCACAGAGCAATGGAGATCCATTGGATACTGGGAAGTAGACTTGTGCAAAAATCTGTTTGCAAATTACTGTTAATACACACCAAAACATTATGATCCACGCAAGATTAAAAAGGTTAGATTATAACCTTTCTTTGACGTCTAATGGAGGAGATTGGCTGACACCGCTGGAACCTCTGATTTCCTATATTACCTTGGTGGAGATGGTGTTACTTACACTTTAGAACTTTAACAAGACACTGCTATAAATATTGAAAGTATTTGTCTCCTGATCCACTGTACTTGTTACAGGGAGCACTATATTGGTGTTTGTATGTACCTGTCTTCACTGAAAATATCCAACCAGCAACATATCCTCTAGCAGGGATGGTACCAATTTATGCGGAATTATTTGAGCTCACAACAAGCTCTATATATACGTGAGTGGCCAATTTTTCTTGTTATTTTTGCTATTGTGACTGAGATACTGCACTATAAGATTTTTCCTGTGTCTCTGTTTTTATCTTTATATAGTGCACCTGGTAGAGAGGTAGTGCATAAGCAGGGATTGCACCATCATCTGCTGAATCAATTTGATCTTATATCGATATCTATTAAATGTGAGTGGCCATTTTTACTATTTTCATTTGGATGGTTATGGCTTAAAGGAAAAACAATGACAAAGTTAAGGTACGATAAGCAATTTAAAGGCTGATGTGGAAAACACAAAGCTCAGCAAGTAATTGTAGACCGAGAATCATGGGGAATATTCAGCACAGAGCCAAACCCTCACAGATGTAAATAGTAACTAGTAAAACAACATAATTATTTTCTTGAAGCAAATTATAATGTAAACATAGAACAAAAAGTTGGTTAAATTAGTAGCTGGCATACTTACAGATCCTGACACAATGAGATTGGACTGTGGGTTAAAGTTGCAGCAAAAGACATAGTTACTGTGCCCCTTCAAAGTCTTCAAACATTTTCCCTGAGAGGAAAAAAACACAAAAAAACACTGTTAGTAGAAAAATACACAGGAACTAAAAGTTTCTAGTGAAATCTATATTTGAAACCACATTTGCTACTTTTTAAAAGATGTGGTGGTTTCACAGACGAATAGAAGGAAAAGAGAGAGAGCAGACTTTCGGTCTCACAAACAGAATGGCACCAGTCTAACCTTTATTGCGCTGGTGCGAAAAAAGAAAAACTATCAATTAATACATGTCTGGGACAATTGGATCTACAAGGTCTATATATGTTAAGAACACATTAACTAGAAGGAAAATCAATTAATTTGAATCTTTGTTGAGGTTTACATCAAGCAGCAGAAAGTCGTAGCTGTCAGACAATCAGTGGCTTTTATCCAAAATGCACATGAGATAAAACACTGAACATGTGTATGACGTGCACACACGCATGATGAGTGCAGTATATTTCAATATTTCCTATAGTATACCTGGGTTTTACCTAGGATTACTGCCTCCAACAAGAGTTTGCACGTTTTACCTGCCGATTCCACCTATTTGTTTTTTATTTATTAAATACATTAACTGCACAGTGAATACAAAGGTACTCCCATATCTGTAAGCAGATAAACACACTGCAATTTAACTGGCACTTAGAAATGATAACAAGCTGATGGGCAGCTCACAGTGTTCCTTTCATTTCCTAAACGGGGGTTTCCAGACACAAACAAGGTTATACACTAAAGTGGGAATTGAAAGTGAATTTAAAAATATAGGTTTAAAACAGCCAATTCAGTTTTTCTGGCCTAAAATGTAAAACTCGCTTTGAATCCCCAATGATTTGCACTTTAGTGAATTACAATGAATGGGCTTGAGAAACACTAAGAGGGACCATTCACAAGAGTGAGAATTATTGGAAATTTTAAAAGAATTTCAAACTTAACACTAAAATAGCCAAACAGAACCAGAACGATTTGGAGAATTTTCCTAATATGTAAGTTTGGAAATTCCCAGCAATGACTAACCAAAACAAGAGACTCACCGAGCTAACATCCCAGATTTTTAGAGTTTTATCATCCGAGGCAGATACAAGGAGATTGGAGTCAGAGGACCAAGCGACATCGGATATACCCTAAGACAGACAAAAAAAAAAAAAAATTATATAACTGCATTCACTGATGGCTCAATGTTCCAAATATATTAAGAGAACATTATTATTTTAGAATGCTTTATGTATTTACACAAACCACACTTAACGTGTGCCTTTGGTTTACATTGAAAATGATTTGGGGAGGAGTAATCACGCCCCTCTAGTGACATGGCAATTCTTTTTACACACAGTTAAAGGTAAATCCCCAAAACATATTTTTGTATTTAATTAATCATATACAGTTTTAATTTGTTTTTGTATATAGTGCTTTAATATTGACAGGATATACAACATGCCAAATATGTTATAATGTCACAATAGACAGGTTACATCCGTCATAAAAAATATCAGGTAACGCACAATGTCTATTTGAATCTAAATATAGAACTTTTATGGTTAATAAAATACTGTAATTAATAGCTAAATGTAGGGTTTGGTATTTGGACTGAAGACTGGAAAGTTATTCTTGTATAGATACAAACAGAAACTTCTTCCACCTTCTGTGCGCAACAATTGTCTTGCTATTTAAAGGAACAAAATAATAAACTTTCTGTAAACGTTAAGTTAAAATGTAAGACTTTATATACCTTTAAGAATTGTAGGCATCACATTGACTTTCAAGAATTTCACAAAATTTACAACAGAAGAGATTGAAGGAAGTGCGTTTTAGAATTATTTGAATTTCTTACCAGCTTGTGTCCAGATATTGTCTTCTCAAACTTGCCGTCGTATGCTCCCCATATCTTTATTAACTTATCAGCAGCTTTGAAAAAAAATGTAATGAACCATCAATAAATAAATATACATACACACAAACACCAATGACATTTAAAGATACAAAGTTCCCACATCCTCCTTTAAGTTTACTTGTATTAAGTCATATGTATCACGCCAATACTGTACCAAGAATTTTTACTAGAGTTTTTATTAAATATAGGAGCAGTTTAAACAGCCAAGCTAGAGAATTGGCAAAATATTTGGAATTCTTCACAATTTTCAGCTTTGCAAATGGCCACTAGAAGCTCTTCCTGTTGCAGTCCTGCAAACTTTGAAGCAATCCTCATAATGGTGCACTGAGCTAATTCATCTCTATGAAGAGATGCTGACAGGTGTGGCACAACAATTGTTGTGCATGCGCAGTGGCCCTCAATGCTTCCCTATGTGGAAGCACTGGATTAACTGAGGTCATTGTCTCTGATAACAGCAATAGTGTTCTGATAAACAAAATGTAATATATATATATAGATATAGATATATAGAGAGAAAATTGTCATGAAGGAGAGCTCTCACTTGACTTTTCAACCAAGTTCAAATATTTAATATGAATACAGTCACATTACATCAACATTTCATTCTATCAAAAACTTTCATCCTGATGATTTTTAAATAAAAAATGTGGCAAACAGCAGTGATCTATACTGAATTACTTACTATACGGTCAATACTTACAAGAACTGGCAAGCCACTCTCCATTTGGGCTGAATTTTACAGATGACACGGCCTTGGTGTGTCCTGCTAAAGTGAACTTTAGAGCATAATTCGGTTTTACAGGCACAGGCTAAGATGAAAGGGAAAAAAAAAACAGTCTGTTACAGAAGTAAATGCAAGACAAAGAATAAACAAACTTAAACTGAATAAGATTCAGCATCTGGGAGAAACAGCAGTAAGAGGGGTGCTGTGGTTCAGCTATGGGCAGGGTTACAATACAGGGAGTAGAAACCCAAAACCTGAAACATCCTAGCCATTTCCCGGGGTTCCAAATAGTAACAGAAGACCAACAGGTCTTTAAACTGGAATGATTTAATTACAAATAGAACACGTCAAGAAGCATTATGCTTGTTATACATAAGCTTACAGAGTGTAAGTAGTGAGAATAGCAGTGAATGTTATATTTGAAATCACAGTCTTACACTGAATTCGCAGTTTGGGGTTTTCAACAAATCAGCAGACTGTAGTATAAAATCCCTGTCTTCTAGAAAATGCTAAATATTTGGTGTCATCAAACAAAGGAGTTTGCAAACCTGGTGAAATTAGTATCTCCTACTGCCTCAGCTACTCTACAAGCAAACATTAGAATATATCAAATCTAAAAATAATGAAGGGATGGCATTGTGATCCAAAGCACACAGACCTAATAGATGCTTTTCTCTTTCGTAAGGCAAAAAAACAATTAAAGGGACACTGCAGTCATCCAGACCACTTCTGCCCATTGGAGTGGTCTGGGTGCCAACTCCCACCACCCTTAACCAGGCAAGTGTAATTATTGCAGTTTTTATAAACTGCAATAATTACATTGCAGGGTTAAGTCCTCCTCTAGTGGCTGTCTATGTTCTTAGAACACGAAAAGTGTTTTAAACGACACTTGACGTCCTCACACTATGCGAGGACCTCCAGCATCGCCGAAATCACTACAGAAAAGCATTGAATAATGCCTTCCTATGGGGAGGTCTAATGCGCGTGCGCGGCCATTGGCTGAAGCCGTCAGGGGAGGAGAGTAGGCGGAGCCTGACCCAGCGCCAAGAGACATCGGCGCTGGACTCCAGTAAGTCATTGAAGGGGTTTTAACACTGGAGAGTCCCTTTAAAGAAAAGAAAAAAAAAAAGTTTGCCTTTGAGATACACTGCTCTAAAGTTTGGACCAATAAATGTTTATCTTTGCAATGTCAGCTGTGAAACACAGATCTAATGATAATTAGCCAGTTGTGAACTGTAGTTAATGACAACGTTCTGCCATTAATACAACTAAAGTAGCAAAGGTCGGCTTTCACTGAACTCGTGTTTAACGTAAAGCTTCTGGGTAGAAGATGGGGCCTATAAGTCAGCATTCTTAATCAATGCTATATGAATGGTGGAGGCAGAATAGAACAAACCTTGCTCTGATTTGTGGATGATGAAGGTGTTGATTGTGATTTAGATGATTCTGTCTCGGGCTTCTTCTCCTCTGTTGCCATGGCACAAACTGTATAGACACTCCCTTCACGCAGACTGTTTATAGTAGAGAAAGAGAGGTACTTTGGTGAAGTTAAGAAAGATGCACTAATACCAAATCTAAACAAATGGCTGTATCTGAGCGTTAGAATGTTTTCAAGGTTCTGCAAATAGTTTCACGACCTGGGTTCTCTCAGTCATCTCCTCCTGTGCCTAGCAACTGCACTGATCAGGAGTTTCTGGCTCCAGATGAGGAGACGATTGGCAAACCCTACCTAAGTTGACAAACTGTTCACACTTTGACTACATACCCTGTGAGGAAACTATGGCACGATAATCACTACAGCAGTCTTAAAGTGTCTGGAGAGTTCCTTTAAAGATTTAAAGAGTCATTTCATGTGTATTCATTATTAAGATAAAATCTTTGGGAAATGCTTCTATTGAAATTGCAACAAAATCAAAAGATTAAAATAAATATAGTTACCTGTGCACTACCCCAAATCCCTATGCACACTGAAATGTAAAGTAAAGTGTAAGCAGTGATGGATGTGTAATACAGTCATTGGAGCTTGAATAAGTGTGTAGAGCTTTAGAAAAATACCCATATCTGTCTCAGGAATTGTGCCTTCTAGCTTAACCCCTTAAGGACACATGACGTCATGATTCCCTTTTATTCCAGAAGTTTGGCCCTTAAGGGGTTAAAGAAGCAAGATGAATTGTTAGTGTAGGACTCACATAAGAGTTTTGCCTTAACGTGGAAGGTGAGCTTACATTTTAGTGGTCAGTGGAACCATACTAAATATTCTGCAGTGATTTACAGGGACACAATAGGCACTCACACCACTTCAGCTCATTGAAGTGATCCAGGTGCACTGTCCCAAATGCCTTATCCCGGATAATTGAATTATTGCTGGTTTTGAGAAACTACAATAATTACCATTGAGGATTAACTCCACCTCTAGTGGATGTCTGCCAGTCGCTAGAGATACTTCCGGGTGGTTAGGCAAATTTTGGTCGCCTAACTGATGGATATCCTCACGCTATGCATGAGAACATCCAGCGTCCCCCAAAACCCCACAGGAAAGCATTATAGCCTGAACATGTAATCAGGTAAGTGATGTTAAGTGACAACGTTGTTTTCCTAGCACTAGGAAATGTGCATAGTGATAAAGGATATTGCACAGGTAACTTGTTTCTTTGTTTCTATTATATGTAATAGACTGGATGTGTACTATAGTCATTGCTGCCAACCAGGGATAGTGGGAGTTTGAGTGCAGGGCTTAATTTGATTTAAAATCAAAAGATTTAAGGTAAAGTAGGGACTACTATGTCTTATGGGCAAAGTCTAGTTTGTCAAAAGGCAGAGCTTTAGCCGTCACCATTTGTCAAATCCAACACATGTGTAGCTAGCAGAGGCTCTCACGTGGGTTTCCATTCCATCTAAGCAATATAAACGTTGTCCCTTTTAGGACTTAATTCATTGGCTGAGGAGAGTTAGTTTATACTGTCAGCCATTGAATTCTGTCTAGATAAAATAAATACAGAATTAGGATAATGCATGTAGCAGAACCCCTGTGGCTGTCCAATACATTCCCTGTATAATATTTGTTGTTGAAACTTAAGAGTGTTCCTGTACCTGTACTATACAGAATTGCCTACAACCTGATGTGGCCATGCTAGGATTCATCAAGGTGTTTGGTGGAAAAGATACACAAGTCTGCATGTGAATTGCTGTATTCACCATATGAACTAAAGTACCGAACAACCGGACCACCCTGGTGTGGCTGCAATTTACCTCCCTGTATGCTGGTTACATTCCCCTGTTTAAACGCACAAACACTCTGCTGTATTCCCTGGGTGGCCGCCATTTCGGCAGCCGAACACGTGGTGGCGGCCATCTTAAACTCCTGAACAGCGGTGTTTGTTGGTCGAGTGTCTGGAACTCAACTCAGACACTCGACTAACCGAACACCGCTAAGACCTCCAGGACTTCAGAAAGTACCGATCAAAACACCCGAACGGCCCGTCATTCGGTAGGATGAATCCCACGAACTAGGGGATTCATCCAAATGCGAACTCAGCTATAGATGGCATAGACTTTCGGGACGTTTGATGCGCGGACACCGATCGCAGGGCCAAAACTCATGGAACTATTTTCGGCTACTTTGTCCGTGCGGTTGGTCAAATCTTTGCGTCCTCATAACTCCCGAACCCCTGGTCTGATCTGGGTGATTTTTGGATTTGTGGGGTACCACATTTAAAGGTGTACCTACCATATTTGGGGTACATCCAAGAATTGGGGAAAAGTATGCACAATATAATTATGTTAACTGTTAAGCTAAGGGGAGGAGATGTGTGGGAGGTAACATCTGTGTGATTGGTTACTGTAATGATTATGGTGGGTGCCTCCCTTGCATGGGAGAATCCCATAAAAACAGGAATTGTGTCATTAAACTTCAGTTCTTCTCCTGATCCTGTGTGTTGTCCAGTGATTGGGAAAGGTGATGGGATATTATTGGATTGCCTTGCTGATTGTGCTTGTTACCCTATTGGTTTACTGCTTGTTCCTGAATTATTCTAAAACATCAGTGGAGTTAAGCTGTGGTAAATCAGCTCTCCGCTACAAAGCAGAATGGGAATCTGGATACTGAAGGTCTGTCTCTCTGGTCATATACTGTAGGTCGGGGGGGTACTGTCTCTCTCTGCTCCTGGATGTATAGGGGGGAGGCTGGCTGTCTCTCTCACTCTTGCTGTATACTGGAGGGGCCTGTCTGTGGGTGTGTATCTCTCTCCCCATGTGGAGGGGACAGTCTGTATCTTTCTCCCATGGTTTTATACTAGAGGGGACTATCTATATCTCTCCCCCCCCATGGCTTTATACTGGAGGGGACTGTCTGTGTCTCTCTCCCCGTGGCTTTATACTGGAGGGGACTGTGTGTCTCTCTCCCCGTGGCTTTATACTGGAGGGGACTGTCTGTGTCTCTCTCCCCGTGGCTTTATACTGGAGGGGACTGTCTGTGTCTCTCTCCCCGTGGCTTTATACTGGAGGGGACTGTCTGTGTCTCTCTCCCCGTGGCTTTATACTGGAGGGGACTGTCTGTGTCTCTCTCCCCGTGGCTTTATACTGGAGGGGACTGTCTGTGTCTCTCTCCCCGTGGCTTTATACTGGAGGGGACTGTCTGTGTCTCTCTCCCCATGGCTTTATACTGGAGGGGACTGTCTGTGTCTCTCTCCCCATGGCTTTATACTGGAGGGGACTGTCTGTGTCTCTCTCCCCATGGCTTTATACTGGGGGGGGACTGTCTGTGTCTCTCTCCCCATGGCTTTATACTGGAGGGGACTGTCTGTGTCTCTCTCCCCATAGCTTTATACTGGAGGGGACTGTGTGTCTCCCTCCCCATGGCTTTATGCTGGAGGGGACTGTCTGTGTCTCTCTCCCCATGGCTTTATGCTGGGGGGGACTGTCTGTGTCTCTCTCCCCATGGCTTTATGCTGGGGGGGACTGTCTGTGTCTCTCTCCCCATGGCTTTATGCTGGGGGGGACTGTCTGTGTCTCTCTCCCCATGGCTTTATGCTGGGGGGAATCTGTCTTTGTGTTCTCTCCCATGGCTTTATGCTGTGGGGTTGTCTATCTCTCCCCATGGCGTTATACTGGAGGGGACTCTGTGTCTCTCTCCCCATGGCTTTATACTGGGGGGGGACTGTCTGTGTCTCTCTCCCCATGGCTTGATACTGGAGGGGACTGTCTGTGTCTCTCTCCCCATGGCTTTATGCTGGGGGGGACTGTCCTGTGTCTCTCTCCCCATGGCTTTA